TATTAATACCTAAAATTACGTGAGTGGTGTTCATTGGAGAAATCCAAGTAAAACAAAAACTAAACCTGAATGAAAGAAGCTAAGCTGCCTTACCTGTGAGACAATGGGGGCGTGAAACGCATGCATTGGTGCTACAGTTACCCGGGGATTTATTTCCTCTTCTGATTGTGGGATTTGTGATGTTTTTGCACTGCAGATGGATGAGGTTTCAGGGGGAAAAGAGGGGTGAGGCAGGAGCAAGGAGCCTTGTTTGGAGATTGTTATGTTTTAGTTTGTATTAAAGTAGTGTCACCTAGAGGCTCCAACCAAGAATACAGCCAAGGGGTGCTGGGCACCCTGAGCACATATGAGCCCAGAGGCAGTTGGAGAGGCAGAGCGAGGTGCAGACACAGAGAGGTGCCGGCAGGCAAGAACAGATCAGGAGCCCTCGTTTTGGGCTGTAGTGGGACTGTTCTGATTTTTGGCCATGTGTAACTGCAAAGGAGTGTTTGGCCTGGATAGATCTCTGACGCCTCGCTCCTTGTCGTCAGATGCTCTCCTCTCTTAGGTGTCCATGGGTGACAAAAGAAGACGTGGGAGAAGTGACAGCCAGTGTTATACTGGCAATTACCCGCTCATCTTGGCATTAACTGAAGAAGTTATGATACAGTCTGTAGATGTAAAGGACTATGTGGACTCTGTGTGTCAGCTACCAGTCGGGGAGGATGACTGTGCTTCAGAAACATTAAAGACCCCTACAAAACTGTAAAGCTGGCTTGAGGGTAAGCAACAGAAACTAATCACTGAATGCCCAGTTGTGGGAAACTTGACTGCAGTAAAAAGGAGTGAAAAGTTTTTTTGAGAAAGCAGACATCTGGTGCTTTTCTGCCACAGTTGATAGATTTTCAGTGTTTAGAACAGAGATAGATGCTTTATAAAGGCAGTGTTTTAGACACCTGGCCTTCTCAACAAGTGATGTGGAAAATCACTGGGAAGGTATAATTCCAGTTTTTATCCTCCTCCACAACATGTAAAGTACCAATGCTCTAGGGATGCGTACTTCACTAAACCATCTGAATCTCTCCTTCCTCAATCAATGAAGACATGTAAACAGAGTATCAGATGCACATACAATTGCTTTGATGACAACATAAACATATTTAAAATACAGCATTTTCAAATAATGCCACAAATCGTGTATAAATTACAGTAATTGACTAGTATTAATTTATGGAGCTCACTTTTTATTAAGCAGCTTTTATTAGAATTCACTAACAGTCTGTGTCTGACATGAAGTCTGTAACTATTCCAAAGAGGCTGGATATCTGCCTGGTTCTGTTTTCCTGCTACTGGGATTAAGAGAAGCTCTTTAGACCTAAGTACCGATGTACCTTCTCCGACACGAGTGTTGTATTACGGGTGGTTTCAGTACATTTGCCAGCAGCTAAGAAATCCTTCCTCCTTATTCCTTGATTGCAGTTTCACTATATCATAGTTTGAGAAGTAATTTCCCTCCACCTCTTCCTCATTGCTCTATGGCTTCCTCTGCTGTTTGGCCTTTAATGCTGACCAGTAGTATGTATAGGTTCATTAACACTATTATAAATTTAGTCAATACTCTTTTAGTGGACTCCAGCTGAGCCCATACTGACTCACTGCCCTCCAGGGTGTAGTGAGAGACTTAATTACCCTTGTACCGTTCAACGGGAACAATATCGTGGGCAGCATTTCACTGTGGCTGGAGAGGTTGAAGCTTCTTTCTCTATTGGCTGCCATTTTCAAGTTTAAAGAAAGGGATTTCAGAATAATTCACAGCTCTGTATAATAACAGTGGAAAGCCACTGCTCTTTTGCAAATGAGAATTGGATTGGTCACGTTTCATTACAGTACTTACATGGATTTTCCTTTGATGGTGGGAGTATTGCTTTGGATTGTCTAAGGACAGAAACTCAAGTTGAAAGAGTGATGGGACAAGTAATCCTTTAGTTGTGGCATGTGTTTCAGCATCTCCTACTGCTTGAAACCAAAGAGGCCTTCACATGGTGGAGGAACGGTAGCTGTTATACCCAGTATGGCAAAAGTCCTACTCAAACATGCATGTAATTGGTGGTGGGCCAGAGTATCATGCTGGGGAATGCAAACCACGAGAATGCCATCTGTTTCTCATTGGGGTTACTAAAGTGAAGTTTGAGTGAAGTGAGGTCTAGCGCAGTAAGTGTGTATTAAGGTGTATAAGCTGATGTTCTGCAAGGCATATCCTTCACTATTTCAGTGTCACCATAATTTCTGATATTAATGTTGTCTGTGATTTAAAGCCAAGTCCTGTGTTGAATAATGTAATAGTCATGTGATTCAACGTGCACAATGAATATTTCTCAACAAATCTGTACCTGGTGTTTTTTTCTGGCTTTCATGTGTTACGTTGGGTCCTGTGCTGAAGGCTTTCATCGTATGTCAACAATGGTTTCTTGAGGTGTCACCTGTTTTAATTGAGTGATTTAGTCGTCTTTATAATTAGATGAAGTGATTGTATAGGCTTTGAGAACCCCGTGCAGACTTCCACTAAACAAATGCTCCAACTCTGGAAGGTATGGGATACTGTATGAAATCTCTTCTGTGTACTGTAAAGGAGAGGAACCGGTAAGAGAAACATGCTTTGGAGACAAAGAAAGAAAAGAAATAGTTATAACTCCTTAACAGCAGGCTAAGGCATCGCTACCTCAAAGTTTGAGTATGCGTACAAACAGTGTGGCATATTTGTATTAGAAGAACCTTTGGTGACTCTGTGGTTTGGTTCCTGCCTGTCATTACCCTTCTTATTTACTCATACGCTTGCAAAATATTTGCCTTGTCCCTTAGGTTTTATTACCTGTCCACAGCACATGAGTGGGGGATAGAGAGGAATGGCTGCAGTCAGTCCTTTCACTGCTTACGTCATGGAGAGAGCTTCTTTGTAGTCATTGAAGTATACAAACACTCATATGTGCCATAAATATCCAAATAAATCACAGAGCAGACATCATCAAAAACAGTCAGAGAAGGAAGCAAAGTAGGAGGCATCATTCAGAGCAGGAAAAAAAGGAAGGCTTCATAGCTGTCACAAATTGTGAGTTAGTCATCATTTGTCTCCGTGCTGGCGGAGGGGACTTGCTGAAGCATTGCGTCACTTGCAAGTGTTAGTCACCAAAGCCATTGTCTGAGCCTTTGAATAAGAGGGGGGAATTTTTTTTTTTTAAAAATGGGCTAGGAGGACTTACTGATTGCAAGATGTTAAATATGCCCTTGTTCACACATCGGTTTATATGGATGCTATCAACATAAACATTACATGTCAAGCATCTTACAGAGAATTACTATTTTCCATTAATTTCCCCTAATTATTTGTTAGGGGAAATTATTTGTTTCCCTAATTTAATTCATTTTAATTATTTTGTGATTTTATTGCTTAATTCAATTTGGGTATTTTGAAACAAATAGGTCGGTTCAAATTTGTAGTTAAGTTCTAATACAATGCTGTTGTGCTGGCCCTGCATTATGGAATTTGTTTGAAATTTCCTAGTAGTTTGTAAAATGTATTCACTGTTTCATTTTGCCTTACACAGCTGCTGGTGGTGTTATTAGATTATTGGTTACTTGAGATATAGTCAGTTTTTATCACATATATGCGCACTTCTTTGTGCAGTGTAATTCCTATTCTTAAGTGATATACACTAGGTGTTATGAACAGGCTAAGGAATGAACACACAGGTAGCCCTTGACTTTGGCTCACAGCACAAAAGGAAGAAGTGGTCCAAGCCTGGAGTGCTGTCTGGGGACACAGGAGAGTCAGCTCCTCAGTCTGCCCCAGAGCCCTTTTTAGGACTTTGGCAGGTTGGCTGCCTTACCGTGTCTTGTATGAGTTAATTGTTTGGTGCTTTATGGTGTAGGCTTTGAAGCACGTGGACACAGCACTCATAGAGCCTGTATGGATTCTTTAGGCAAGGGAGCCCTGTATAGAATTCCAGTGATAGCTGGTAGTCCAGGGAAAAATGCAGTTCTGGGTATGAAAAACAAGTCAATGGTGTTTAAAAATCATGGAAGAGAGTAATGCGTGTATGTATTAAATAGTGTGTGTGTGTGTATATATAGATGAGGAAGGATCATATGTGTGTATGTGTGCATATATGCAAATAGAAATCTAATTTGCAAGTTAGTAGTATGAGAACGAGTAAATTCCAAGTGGGATATATTTTACAGTTATGGGATTAATAGTTACTTTCACTGGTTTTAACATATTTCATTAATTACACTAGATGCGTACCTATCCTGTGTTCATTTTGAAACCACCAATGCTTTCATATGAAAAGAACTGTAAGAAATGTTTGCTTGTATCTGTGGACAAAGGTAATGGAAAAAACCCAATCCTCTCATCCACATACTTATCTGAAAGATGTGTTGTATATCTGCAGCTGATTTTCTAGAATGCTGATTAGCTAATACTGTTTTTGGCATGCAGCTTATCCATCGTGTGGGAGAACGCTATCTGAATTTCAATTTACTTTTCAAAATGATGTTGAACTGCTATTCCTTTAAAGGCTTTTCTGGCCATTTGGGGACCCAGTGCAGACAGTGGAGCTGCAGTCTGGTCTCAAAATCTAATTGAATTGATACGAGGCAGCTGAAGCAGTGATTGTTGAAGAGCATGAGATGGATTGCAAAAAATAAGTGCTTCTGAGCAACTTGCTTAGTGTCCTTGTTTGAAACGCTGCCCCTGAGTTTATTTTCACTTTCCTTGGTAACAGACCTTTATGGTAAAAGCCCTGGGCTTCAATATAGTTAAGGAATTCAATAGTTCTGTATGGTTTTGATATGATCGTGTTGCTATTAAAGAAACTTTATGCCTCTGAGAGTACTAGGCTAATAATGGAAGGGAGGAGCGGGGAGTTAAGGTAATGTCAGGTGTTAATCCCTTTGTCCCTGCCAGCAACTTGCCACCGTTTAAAATTCAAAAATCTCACCCTCCTAAACATTTGTTTTTGCAGTGATGGGTCTTTCCCTTACGATTCTGTTCCCTGGCAGCAAAATACCAACCAGCCTCCAGGCTCTTTATCGGTAGTCACCACAGTATGGGGTGTGACTAACACCTCTCAAAGCCAGGTAAGCTTCATTTTTATGCTCCGTCCCCTGTAGATACAGGTTTTCACTAATGTTTGCAAAATTGAAAGCTGTTTGGAAAATCTTCCTGCGATTGATAGCAGTGTCTGTGTTCTCTTTGTTGTACATCCTGCATTTTTTTTCCAGTCGTGTCCTCTTTGGTGGCATCAGAAAGGAGGTGTCTGAGAGGTTGAGTCAGTAACTCCTTTAGCTGCATGCAAATGTCAGGCTTGGGTTTAGCATGTATTTTGCACTGTATGATTTCAACTCTAAAAGCATGATTTTGGGGAAATCCTAAACCTCTTCAGAATTTCAGATTGAATTTGAAGAGTTGTTTTCTTAAAAATAAAATTTCTAGCTAGATTCACAGTTATTGTTGATTTTACCCAAGGTTGTGTTGTACTTGCGGGCTGGTGAAATCCAGTGCCAAGTCTACCGCCATGCTGAGGTGCTAACTGCCAGCTATAGGCTGTGCTCTTTTCAACCTCTCCTGTTAATACTGCCTTACTCTGCATAAATATTTCAATATGTGTTGGAGCAAAACCATGAGCTCCTGGCTTCCAGGTGAGCGCCATACTTAGTGGATTTTTATTCGGTTCTCTCTGCTCTTACCTCTCTTTTTCTTCTGCAATGTATATGAAATTACACTATGAAAAAAGAAGCAGCTTTAATGAAGGAGACGCCAATTATTTGTGGTAGTGTGCTCTCCAAGGGATGTGGCACAAATCAAGTTCTCAGACAGTCTAGCCTTTTCTTACGCCGTGGATGAAGTGCTCTAAACACATCACCATCTTTAATGAGTGCAAATGGTACATAAATCTAACTTGTCTTTTCTACCTGTTCCAAGTCAAGTGACATTGGATCCCATACAAAATTTTCTGTGGATTTTTTTTTATTTATTTTAATTTTGGACAGAAAATTAAAAACAAAATTGTTACGGATTGAGCCATTTGAAAAAGAAATCATTCAGGGCCAAGTCATATACTCACATGGCAGTTATGTAAGCACTGGTTGTGGCAAAATCTTTCTTCAAAAAATAGAGAGAGGAAACTGTTACAGAGTCTATAACATCACTTATTATTGTTGGTTTCTTTTTAACACTGTAAAAGAAAAGGTGTCCCATTTGGAGAGAAACACCTGAGTAAACACATAGGTCTATACGTCGGCCAGAAAATGGAAATATAGTTTCTTGTGAAAGTCTTTCACACTTAAAAAGGTAAAAGGAAAGACAAGAAAAGACTCAGAGTTTTGTGCTATCATAATGCTGTAATGTAACTTGAACTCTTCATGTTAATTCGGAGAAATGTGTGATAGATGAAAAAAAGTGCTTTAGTATAAAGAAGAAAATGCTTCTTCAAAATCACTGCAAGGGAAGGGTGAAACTCTGAAACGTTAAGCTTGGTTGTAGCTGTTCAGAGCAGATTGAAATGAATGACGGGGTTTCCCGTAAGTCTTCATGCACCTTGAGGGAAAGGAATGAGCCAGGCCCACTGTTTCCCTTTGACAAATTCCCAAAGCTGGTGACTTGATCTTCTGCAAAAATCATGACCACTAAATTTCTTCCCGAGTAGGAGAGAGATTTCCATGCAGCCATACTTGGATCTCAATGGAAATCATAGCAATTTTGGTTCAATTGAAAAAAAATAAATGCTTCGAACAGGCAAACCAAGTCCTTTTAAAAACAGAACAGAGGACTCTTTTCTAAGAAGCAATAAAAACAACCAATAGACTTCTGTATGCTTTAGAGAGAGTAAGATTCAAGAACAGGTTCAGCCACTGAAATATATGCTTTCACAGTTTTTAGTGGTACACTTTACAGTATGCCAGTGAGACTGAATATGTACAAGTTACTTCGAAATCCTACATCAAAAAAAAGATAAGGCATGTACTTTCTCTTAATTGGATTAATTTGTCAGCTACAGAGCATGGTTCTAGCAGGTCTTCTTTGTAACTTTTTTCATAAGCGTGTTAGTTTGGGTTCCATCTGGTTACATATCTCCCGTGGAGGTAATTAGAGATCAGAAACTCTTGTTTGTTTGGAAACGGCAAAAGAAAAGGAGAAATCACCAGGAGCGTGTACCTAGATATCAACAAAGGTGTATGTGTATTAGAGTTCAGACTACAAGGTGGTTATATTGTAATTTATCGATTGTGGCAAATCATCTTAATTTGTGTGATGTAGTTCAATGTACAGCCCCTTATTCTCATGTTTCTACTCACAGGTGCTGGGAAATCCAATGGCAAATGCTAACAACCCTATGAACCCAGCAGGAAATCCCATGGCTTCTGGGATGACTACCAGCAATCCTGGAATCAATTCCCCTCAGTTCGCTGGACAACAGCAACAATTTTCAACCAAGGCAGGCTCCACTCAGCCCTACCTACAGCAGGGCATGTATGGGCGACCCAATTATCCTGGAAGTGGAGGCTTTGGTGGCAGGTAAGATTTACTCGTGTGAGGTGAAAAAACGGATGTAAATAGTTGATGCAGCTTGTTTTAGCAACCTGGTAGAAGTGTCATGGGCTTATTTTAAGTATATAAAGTCTCAGTAGCTGTTTTATGCTGGTTAACTGAAGTGTATACTGCTTTTACAGCTTCAGAAATCAACTACCCAGTGAAATTCATCACAGTAAATGGAAATGGCTTAGGTCAATCAATTAGCTCTAATAAACCCCCAAAATAAAGTTTTAATTAAGAGAGATTGTTAAACAGACCACAAGCTTAGGAATGATTAACATTTAATAAGGCCAGGATGTGAAAGGTATTGATGGTATAATTTCTACGTGCGGATGGAGGAATAAGCTTGAGTATTAGGCAAACTAGATTCCTATGCAAAGGGATATTTCTGCCCAAAGATTTACTCCGCAGCAGGAAATTGAAAAGAATTGGGGGTGAAGATGTTTGTTAAAAGAGATGGTCAAGCTGTGTATTTATTTTGGGGAAGTAAATGCTGCATTAGTGAAATAAGCCAAAACTAATAGCCTGGGTTTTGTTACATTTTGACTTTCTGTGTCTAAGTTTTGTAAACAAGGGTGGTAAGTGCACTTGAAACCACTGTTTATGGTCCCTCTGCAAAACCTGCTGAAGAGGTTGTTCGCAGTCAGTCTAGTGTGAAGAATGTAAGCCTGGGACTCAGGGAACTTATCTCTCCTTTCACCTCTGCCACTGGTCTCCTGAGTGACCTTGAACAAGTCATAAAGTTTCTTTAGCTTTGTACTAACATCTCTAAAATGGGCACAGTATACTGGCCCATCTTTATAAAGATAGGTGATGTCTTGAGTGGGAAAGGTTAATTTATCTTATGATCAATAGGAGGGCCGGGTAGGAAGTGCAAAATACGTTCTGTGGGATCCAGTAGAGCTGGGTCTCTCCTGGCCTTTCTGCTGAGGTTCAGGGAGGAGTGCTTTTACAGCATCGGGAACGCTTGGCATAATTCAGCAGCGAGGCAGATGCACACGCTGTCGTGGAGGAGGCTCTTTGTTCATGCTGCTGTGCAGTCTGCCCCTACACTATTGGGAAATGGAGCATGCATTAACCTTCAGGATTTCGGTTCAACTTCGCAGTAAGCTACAGAGCTGCAAAGCAGTTCACTGTCCCCAAAACAACTAACAATGGTGCCTTCCAGTCCCAGTGGCAGCGCTATGACTGTTGCACTTGAGCAACACTCGTATCCCGTGTACACACCTAATTCCCTGTCCTGCTGGCTTTCATTACGCGTTGATACCTGGCTTTGGAACAGTTCCAGATGAGGATCACACCAACATTCAAAACAAAATCCACCAGGCGTGTCTTAATTCTCTCTCTTTCTTTCTTTCTTTCCTGCCCTCTTAGTTACCCTGGAGGCCCAAATACCCCTGCAGGAATGGGGATCCCCCCCCACACGAGGCCACCAGCTGATTTCACCCAGCCAGCTGCAGCTGCCGCTGCTGCTGCAGCTGCAGAAAAAAAAAACAGCCACTGTGGCAGCGCTTCAGGAAACGCAGAATAAGGACATGAACCAGTATGGACCGGTAAGAGAGTAACCCTTATGTCTTCATACCTGCCTGATCTGGACCATTACAGGGAATTGGGCTGTCCCTCTTACTCCCCTGTTTATAGGGTGCCTACTCTGTTTTCCTTTTTCTTTTTTTTTTTTTTTTTTTTTTTTTTTTTTTTTTTTGTGCATGAGCATGGTTATAAATGCTTATGAGAAACTGCTGGAATGTGTATGTAGGTATGAGTCGGTCTCCCGTGTTTTTCCCAGTAAGTCTTGCCTAAGTGTATTTTGTAGGTTGGAGATTGCCCCTTAAAAAAATTGAAGATTATGCATCTACAGCTGCATCTGACGTGATACATTATTGCTGCCTTTGCCAGCCCTGTGAACCTCTAAATTTGAGTACCTGGTGAAATGTTCCAGAATCCTGGAACAGGTTTTGTACCGCTTGGGTAATTGTTTATTTTGCCAGCTACAGTTGGTTGTTTGGTTTTTTTTTTCCCTTCAAACAAGGAAACAACACTAGAAAAGAGATTTGCTTTTTAATAATGTTGTCTATGAGAACAGCTATGCGAGACATGCATTTCTGGTGATCCATAGCCTCCAGCATGTCATGACTTCATGTAATAATTTTTTCTTAAAATAAACAAGGGTTTGATCAATTGAGGTTTTTTCCTCCTTAGCTTTTTTGCCTTTCTAAGTTTTGAAGTATATGGGCCCATATGCTGGGTGATGTAAAGAAGCACAATGTAATTGTAGTGTTGTGCTGTATTTACACTGCCAACTTCCTGACCTGTTAACTTACAGTAACAGACTAGCTAATTTAAGCGATTTAATTGCTCACCTCAGACTTGTGTCTGTCTTTCTCTCTTATACCTTCTACAATTCCAATTGAATTCTATTATAAATAACATCACTGCCCATCAAATGCTGGAAAACATTGAAGGAAAATGCGACATAAATCCTCCCCTTCTTCCCTCCCCCAAAAGCATGTTCAGCTCCCTCCTCCCATTTTAAATGCATGTCGCATTTTATTCTTTTTTTTTTTTCTTCTTCTTCCGTTGAAGGTTTGTTCCTCTTTCCAGATGGGTCCAACTCAGGCTTACAACAACCAGTTTATGAACCAGCCTGGTCCTCGTGGCCCTGCTTCTATGCCAGGCAACATAGGAATGACGCCTTCCAGCATGAGTGGGCCACCCATGGGCATGAACCAGCCTCGGCCTCCTGGAATGAGTCCCTTCAGCACCCATGGGCAGAGGATGCCTCAGCAAGCCTACCCAGGCCCACGCCCCCAGTCTTTGCCTATACAGGGCATAAAGAGACCGTACCCAGGAGAGGTAATGAAATAAATTGTATTTTGTGTACACTACTAGTTCGACTGAAAGTTGGAACGTGCTGGGTAATGTGTGGTGTGCATCCCTGTTAAGACAGGTACAGCTTTGTTCCAGCCTTGGTAGGAATACTGCTGTTAAAATACGAGCTGCAGCAGCTCTTCCTTTTTAGCTTCTAAAGCGTTCAGGCTGGCCCTTGCTATGTTCGTCAAGATGACAGTCATTAAAACGAAGAAAGGCCCAAAACCAGCTCAGCCCTCAAAATGTCACTTTGAGATTCTCATGCTAGATGGTGAATTCATAGACCTTAAGCAGACTTCCTTCACAGGAGTGGATTTATTTAATGTGACACCATAAAAAAGATGTTGAAGGTGAAATACTACATTTGAGCCCAATACATATGTGATCTGCGGGGTTTTTTGATGATTTTATTGTTCTAAAGAAATACAGGGCATATGTTGTATAAACACCAATAGTAATAACATTTATTTTAAAGACCAATTGCTTTCCACACTTCTTGAGGCTTTTTTTTCATAGCCACCGAGATGAATATAAATCATGTTGAACTCAAATCCCTCCATGTCAGCTTTTATCTAATATAAGTTTATTTGGAGTGTGGTATTTCTGTCTTAAGTTCCTGTGCTTTTATATGAGATCTGAGTGGCTTTGTAGACAAAATTACATTGCCATTGACATGTATTATGACCTTGGGCAAAACACTTAGGGTCAAAATTTTAAAGAAATTTAGACAACCAAAGGTGTAGATAGATGAGCTTTTGGATTTTAAAAACCACCAATGCATTTTACTATTCACATTGGCATGAACCGGCCAGGAGAAGCTTTTGAGAATCTCACCAACTCTGAGAATCTCACCAACTTTCAGTATCTATATGCACCTAAATGCCTTTACAAATCTAGTTACTATCTTCAGAGATAATTTCCTGGTAAAATTCTGTATTAAACTGAGACTACAACAACAGCTATAACTCTGTGTGTAGAGCTTTGAATATTATGATATTGTCCTGACTATAATAATGGTATTAAGAGTTTATAGAAAACATACAGCAAAGAGTACCATGGCATGCAGAAAATAAAGCAAACACTTATTATTGTGCTACCTTTCTTTCTTGATCTGCAAACTATTTTTTTAATAAAATAATCAGAAATTTAAGAAGTTATGTGCTTTTGCAGGCGTTGCTTCTCTGGGAAGGCTTTTCACTCTGTAAATACTGCCACTTACTCTACAATTAATTTAAGAAAACACAGAATGTGGCTTGTTCATATAATTTTTATCTTCAGAGTTCATATTTTAAGGAAGACTGTAAATCCCTTTTTTCTGCAGATTTTGCATTGTAAATGAATACGATCCTGTTCCCAAGAAATCAGTCAGAACAGCGCCCTAAATGTTACGTGCTTGCTGGTCTGGAATTCTGCAGATCCCATAGATGCTATTTGCATGTTGGTTTTTGAAAGCCTCATTTATGGAAACTTCTTATTAATCAGTTATTTTTACAAATTGACATTATATTACCTTTAAAGCTCCGGTTTTCATGACTGATTCCAAAACTACAGCACAGTACTAGCTAGCACTAGCAAGGTGTTTATGACTAGTAATAGCTTCTATTTAGTTGTTAGGGTATTGCTAAACACTCTAGCACAGGGCCACCATGGCAATTGTGTTGAGAAGGCAGAGATGGACAGCACAGCTTCTGTTCTCTTCCCATTCCGTGATATACTTTTTTTAATGTTACTTTTTCTTTTTGTGCTTCATTCTCCACTTGGAAAAGGAGACCCAGGGATGGGGCTGGTAGCACTTGCAAAAACACAGAGATTTTGTGAACATTGCATCTGGTTGTTATTCTGGTTTCTTCAAACACGGTGCCCTTTGGCAGCACTGTAAGGCTGAGCATTTGTGTGTGTTAAGGTACATGGTTATTCTTATCCTGCTTTGGTTTGCAGGACTTTTATGCTTTTGAGTGAGTGTTCCCCTCCAGCCATCAGGGCCCTGGTTTAGGCATGAGTACCACAAAGTTGAGGAGTATTCACCTGGAGGGTTTTCTGCTTGGTTTGATTCCGCTATTGAATGTACGCTAATAATCAATTCAAGACAGCTGCTTGCATGAAACAGATCTTTGTCTTCTTTCCTCTCTGTTGTGAAATAGCCCAATTATGGAAACCAGCAGTATGGACCAAATAGCCAGTTTCCAAACCAGCCTGGTCAATACCCTACTCCCAACCCTCCAAGACCTCTAACGTCTCCCAACTATCCTGGACAGAGGATGCCAAGCCAGCAAAACACAGGGCAGTACCCTCCTCCAACAGTCAACATGGGGCAGTATTACAAGGTAAGAATTTTTAGATTATCTTGTTGCATTCTGGTAGACATTTATGAATGAAGTCACATTAAGGTCTTCATAGATACTTTTATGTAATTAAAGGAAAGAAAGAAAAAAGCCCAGTGTTTTTACTAATGTTTTGGATAGCACAGAATCAAGTCAATCAGCCAAGTTGCGTTGTAACTTCAGCGCAGTTCAAAAAGAAAACTGAATGTTACTGCAGCTCATTAGAGGCTTTTACAAGAAAACGTCGGTTTCACTTTAAAAGTAGCCTGTAAAAAGAAGTACCTAATGGGATTCAGGTGTGATATTCATGGTACCCTGCAAAAATACAACTTTGGAAATTTGTAATAAACAAGTTCCCCATTGCAGCATCCCTATTTCAGATGTACAGTGGTCACTGTTGGATTAAGCCAGCCCAAACTTAAAAGCCATTCCAGCTGTAGAATTCATCTTTGAACTGAAGTTTGCATGATTTCTCCGACCTCTGCCTCCCCTTTTCTCCTTCTTTTCCGTCTGTGCTGCTTGTTTTGGGCAAGAATTAGAATTGTTAAAACGTTGCCTAAACCTGTTTTATGGATACATCTTGAGCACTTCCAATTATCCAAACTGAGTTTGTACTGAGGGCCTGCTGAGATTTGACGTCTTTGAAGGGCACACGAAAGTGATCTTTGTCACACAGGTACTGCAGTGAGTATAAAAATGGGGAGGACCATCGATGGTCTGACCTGCTTTTAAAGCATTAGCTGTTGAAGTCTCTGGACTACATTCTGATTTTGAATGTAGGCAGAAAGAATCTAAGTTGCACCTTGGTGTTGAATTGGAATTGTTCTGTTGTGATTCACACAGAAAACACCATTGGGGAAAAAAGAGGAAAGAAAAAAAAAACCAAAAAACAACAAACCCCTTTACTGTAGAGCATCTGTTCTACGTGCAACCAAGCTGTCCACTGTGGTACCCAAAGGAATGCCTGTTGCATCATGGCAGCTTTCGCAGTACACTGTCAGGAAGAACACAAGGAGGAGACAGATCCTCAACCACTGTAATTCCAGTGTAGTCACTTATGCTAAAATAACAACAGAAGATCTCTCTGAAATTTTTAACTGGTAGATATTTTTAATACTTTTTACATGTGTTTATTTTAGATGGGGTTTAATTTTTTTTGTTTACAGGATAGTTTTAACAGGGAATCTGTGGTCTTTCCACTGCATCCCCTAATTTGTATTTAAATATTGACTGTTCTGGAAATGGAAAATAAAAGACCTTGTTAAGAAGGGAGATTGTCCTGGCTAGGGGAAAAATTCCAGCTTACCACAGACAGGACTGGAATCTTTGTATTGTAGTGATTGTGGGGATAATAACTGTAGGTGTTAAAAAAGCGAAGACGGTTGGAAATGTAAATGCTTAAGATTTCAGAATGCTGCTCTCTTCTTATGTACTTTGGAGTATCCTGGGCTAGCAGCGCAGCATTTAGATATAGAATCAGATTTGAAGCCCTGCTACTTTGGCTGTCTGTAAAGATTTTCATCTTCTGACACTCTCTTATGTATGCGCCTATGGTACACGAGCTATTACAAGAGAGTACCGTGCAATTGCAGTTCTGTTTAACATCAGCTTCCTTCGCATCTTCGTTATTAGCTTATTCTGTTAACTGCAACCATCCCTTTAATGACAAGAAACAAAACCAACATTGTTTTAATACTATAGATACTATTTACACTTAACTATGCTTTTTCTCTTAGTTTGTCTTATTCAGCGGCAAACTAACAACAGAATCAAATTGTAGGTACACTGAATAAAAGACATGCTCTGGCAGCCAGAGCTTCCATTCTGAGTAGATGAGTTGGACAGGGGTGGAAAGAAAGGATAGATGGAAGTAAAAGGGACACAGACATTCTAATTGCGTGTCTTTGGATTTTGTTTTTCATGTAGGCTTTTGTGCACTGGGGCTATTTTGGGAGGAAGCCAAAGAGATACAAAGGGCTGGGTGGGTTGGGGTGGTGTGGAAAAACTGAAGTGTGAATGGCTGGTTGGTTTTGGAAAGAGAGTGTTCAGAGGAACGCGATAAGCCTCTTGGCAGCCTTGCTTGTATCTGGTCATTGCCTGAATTAAGCTGGCTGGTCTGCTGGTTTCAGTTCCTGCTTCACTTTCCTAGTCTGCCTCTTCCCCGAAAGCCTCATGGGACATCCTGTGGTTTCCTGTCGTTCCGGAGACGGAGGGGCCTCCCTACCTTGTTTGTAGTCTTTGGTATTTGACAGCAGTACAGATCACAAGGCTTATTATTCTTATTTTCAGACTGCAATAACAATGTGATATTATTTATTTTCTAGCCATCAAGGCCTGTACCTGTGGCAAATTACCCTCATTCACCTGTTCCAGGAAACCCCACGCCACCTATGACTCCAGGGAGCAATATTCCTCCATACCTGTCACCTAACCAGGATGTCAAACCACCATTCCCACCTGACATTAAACCAAATATCAATGCTTTACCACCACCTCCAAGTGAGTAGCAAATGGAATGCCCCCGCAGTCATTTATTGTCCCTCTGTTCTCTGTCGCATACATTTCAGAGTCTGGAAACTGATTGCTGCTCCAGGAGAGGCTCAGATTGCGAAGTTGTGATACGTGGCATGCACAGTGCAGGCTCACTAGAGCCAGTGGACAGGAAAGAGAAGGATTGCTATCCCCTCCTAAAATAGAGTGTCAGAAAAGTTCTTCCGGGTTAAACTTGCAAGGATTTTACTCTTGAAGTATTCCTTTGATACGGTTCCTGAGGATAGAAGGCTTGATTTTGGGTTGTGTGTGCTTTGCAGGCTTGTTTATTGTATGAACTTTCATTGTGGTCTGTTTTGTTCAAGGGCAAAGCCATTCATTGAACATCACTGAAGAATAGCATAAAATGTGAATATTTATAACAGTGTCTCCATTGTGATCCATACAGGCTTCTTAAGAATATTCAGTAGTATGCCAAAAATTGATATATGTTTCTTTCAAAGCCACTCAACATCACAGCTACATTTGGCTGGGAACAGGGCAGGAATAATAAGATCTGTCTGGCTATATACTAGCACAAGATATTTGAGGTTTTGAAGTGACTAATGAACAATAGGAGATATCATTTACTAGGGAACTGGGAGAACCTTTATGTTTTCTGTAAAATAATTGCTGTTGCATTAGCTCTTCGCAACTGGTGTTTGGAGTTCAGGATAGCTGAAAAATGAAGTAGAAGGTGATCTGCGCTATTATTTGGGCAAGAACACAGCACTTAAAGACGTTTGGACTTCATAGGTTAGCTGTGAGTTACCACAAAACCTTGTTTTATGAGATCAGATAGTAACTGAATACCAGTGTCTTTGGTCATTGGATAGTTTCAGCTGATGAAACTGTTGGAACTAATTGTGTAATGCTGATCCCAGTTCAAAGCAGAGAAAACAAGCATTATCACAGTTTGCCATAATTAAGAGATTTGTTGTCAGTCTTCTGCCAGCAGAGTAAGCCTGGACACAGAACCTATCCAGTAATAAAATACAGGAATTGTTGCCATGCCTGGTTTCTGTTTGTGGCTGGAACGCTAAGGTCCTAATGTTAAGTGTGGGAGAATAGAAGACTGGTTTGCCATCGCTATCAGTTTGCACCCTGCCACTTGTTATCAGTTAGATGATGTAGTTACTTGTGATTTTCTTGTTTGTGTGTATGAACCTACTAAGTTAGACCCAGTAGCAGATCACTGTGCTATTTGTTACTATTCTGTATAAATATACACATTATTATCGCACTGCAGATGCTAAAGGGAAAGTTCACGCTTTCTCTCCCTCTTCGATCCCAGCCAACCACAATGATGAGCTGCGTCTGACGTTTCCCGTGAGAGATGGTGTTGTACTGGAGCCCTTCCGGCTGGAACACAACCTGGCAGTCAGTAACCATGTCTTTCACTTACGGCCAACTGTTCATCAGACACTGATGTGGAGGTAAGCTCAGCCTTGCTGTGACGAAGTCTTGCACCCAGTGGTGGAGGAGTGGCATGCCAGATGAACTTGATTTAGGTTTGCCATTAATTTAGCTTTAAAAACTGGGGGTAGGAAAAAAGTCCTTTAAACTCACAGATACTCTCACGTGTCGCTTTCCAGAGACAACATGTTCTAAAATGCTTCCTGATCTGTATTTCGTCTCCTTGCCGATAGCGTACAGTATGCAGTCTTTGAAAAATCGCTGTAACTGTTCCATCCTTTCTGCTCTGGGTGGAAGGGGTGTGGGACGTGCACAACCAACACCAGTACAAACTTCTGTTTGGGAGACTGAAGTCCTAGGTGCTTTGTGGCCTGTGAAGTGTTAGTTGCAGGAGTAACTATGCAGGGCTGTTACTGTATATGCTTAAATTAAATGGTGCGGATATCTGATAATGAAAAATAACACACTAATGAAGGACCTGATTTAGAGGCTTGGTAAAATCATTTGGAAAGACAAGTGTTTAAATCCTCCAAACTTTAGAAACTAACTTCATAAATTCCCGCTCCTATGACTCCACGAGTAAGGACGGGTCAGAAATATCAGAGCATAACCTTCCACATACAAAGGCTTCTGGTTTTCACTTACAGTGAGTACTACTTTCCAGCGCAGAGGAATAGTTTTCCCGGGTGGTACTTCCCTGCATTTAATGTAGATCTGCATAAGCGATTCCAGGTTATGTCCTGATACCACCATGCTCATGGAAGGGCTCTAGATTAAATGACAATCAGAGCCTTATTTTTTTATTATTATTTGTATATTTTCAATACCATGGAATAATTCTGTCTCTTCATTCTGTTTGTCTCAGTATCTCAGTGTTTCTCCTGGCTGCTGATTCCATTGTTTGAGCCTGTCTCTGTGCACTGTGGCGGCTGGTTAGTTGCTCAGGATCTTGTATGCAGGCTGTTTCGCAGGTGTAGCAGCTGAGCACATTTTCCATTGCGCCTGCCTCACTCCCAGTTTGTTCCCAAGCCTGGGCCACATACCCCTGACCTTAATGGGAGTGATAACTTGTAGCTTCAGCTTGTTAGCCCCGTGAGGGTCTTCTTCCCTTTCACTGGAATCCTCTTGAGACTTCTATTTTCATGGTGTGGAGGGTGTGAGGTGGGCAGAGGGGTGCGCTGAGTTGCCTGCCCCGGGATCGGACTCTGGCTCTAAAGCTGAGGCTTGATGTGGGGTGCAGAAGTCCTTGCTGCCACGGTGCCCCCCTGCCCTGAGGTAGCCTGGGGGTTGGAAGGGAGAGAGATTGCAGGCAGACCACATCCAATAATTAACACCTAACTTTGAGGTCAGTTATTGCTTACTTGCATTTCATTATCGTGGAGTACTCGCAGCAGAGGGAGTTTTGGCAGTTATTTGCCGGTTCTTATTAATAAGTAATCACTACTGGGGATTGTGCTGGCTCATTCAGTAGATTTATAGTGCACTGAGGCATGAGGCTGTTTCTTAATATCTGTTCGTTCTTTCTTCCCTAGCTCACCAAACACATAGCCTTTATTTAAACTTATTTTAATGAAGACTCATAGGTAAACTGTGCTCAGGTCTGCTGTTTTGAAAAGCTCGTTAATAGTGGGGAGAACGGATGGTCCTGTAATGAAGTCATTTCACATTTAACTCGGGGCTGGATGGATTCCAGAAAAATGAATTAGTCACATGTGTGGATGGATTTCGGTTTTATAGAGAATGGTGGAGTTGAGCCAATTCTGAATATTTGTCTGCCAGTTAAAATATTCGGCAAAACCTCTTATGTGTACACACGTAATGAATAGCAATGCAACTATTTTTCTTCCCACTGGGAACTTCTCATGGTTACGAGAAACAGAAAGGTTGAAGGCAGGGAAAATGTCGTATTGAAGGTGGTTCAGTCTTAGCCCTGCTCAGTTATTAATAGCATCTCATGGTGGAGATACTGCGTGCTAAGAACATGAGGGTCTCCTGAGCTCTGTCGCCACTCTGTGACATTCAGCAGGCCTGCTCAGAGTCCTCGGGAACATACTTAATCTGCTTGGGTTTTGTATCAGAGGTACCAAGCCTTGCTTCCCTCCGGGTTTGGGTCACTGCGGTGTGTTCTCGTGAGGTGAGAATCTCCAGTGGATCTCGCGGAGAGAGCTTTCAGAAAGTGGTTAATAAAATATTGGAAAAAAGCCTGGAAAGACTTAATATAGATGGATGATGTTGAAAGGTCAGGTAATTTGTATTCTATACCTTTCTTTTTTTAAAAAAAAAGTGGTTTTAGCCAGTGCTAAATCTCGGATGTTTTGAAATTGAGAAAAGATGATGTTAAGTCAGAATTGAAATCTCTGGTTTTGGATAAGGAAAATGGCAGTTAAGGTGATGATCTTCTGAATGAGCTGTTCCTCATGGATCTTACAAAGATGTCTTCCTTCAGGCAAGATGAAGAAATGAGCACCTGGATTTTCAAGCATAAAAGATAAACATTCAGCTGTCTTTTGCTGTCATGAACAGCAGAATCCTGACATTTCACTTCAGTTCTTGACGTTCTTTTAAATTTATTTTCCGAATTACTCATTCCTAACACAAGGTTAACATCCATGTATGAAACTGAAGTGATAGTCTCTACCCACTTAATTTGTGATTAACTTAATCTCTGCCTCTTCCTTTTTTGGAGGTGTTATAAAACTAATTTTTTGGGGAGCTAAATAGTGTATGAAAGTTATTATTGGAGAGGTGGGAGGAATTAATGCTCTGAAAGGAGGTCTAAATTGGGTAGATTTAATCCACAGCTGTGTTAATTTGGAATCACAGAAACACAGGGGGTGAGATACAGAGGTCATGTTATCTTAGTTGATTTAGCTGTTCCAAGGTAGAATTAGCTGTACCTGTATTTTGTCTTACAAGCATTCGTTCAAATGCTTTTTTAAATTCTCTGAAGTAGTGAAGAATCCACAGGCTTCCAGCACAACCCGCTGCAGCATATCACTTTCTTGTTCTTAACACACAGGAAGGACTTACCCGATGTTAATGTTTTTCTTTCTGCAGGATCATTTCATGGTCTAGTTTTGCGAAGTGGTTTGAGATGTTCCCTTGGAAAGTCCTTTATAAATGTAAAATAGTAACAACAACTTTGTTGCATGCTTGCATCATTAATTCATCATGACTTGCTTCTGTTAAGGGCTCTTACGAAGAAAATTATTTATATCCTTTACTGGCGATAATTCTAGAAAAATAAACTGATTGGTAAAGAAAAAGCGTTCTAGCATCAGAACAACCTCCCTCTGCAATGTGAAAGCAAAGTTAAAGGAAGATTTATTGGTTGTTGTACAGGTCTGACTTGGAATTACAGTTCAAGTGCTATCACCATGAAGACAGACAAATGAACACAAACTGGCCAGCTTCAGTCCAGGTCAGCGTTAATGCAACCCCACTTACCATCGAACGTGGCGACAACAAGACATCTCATAAACCCCTGCACCTAAAGCACGTCTGTCAGCCAGGAAGAAACACGATTCAAATTACAGTCACAGCATGTTGTTGTGTAAGTACACGGAGCTCACGGCTGCAGCTGCTGATGCTGAGTTTGCTGTTTAGTACAGTTTGTAAATGTTGCCTTGGCTGAAAGAGCCTTACTCTCATTTTTTTCCATGCATGTTTCTGCTAAGGTGCTTATTTGATAATGTTGACACAGACAGAGTGCTAATATGGAAATTTTTGCTGCTGAATTATTGCAGGATGTATTGGTGTCCTTCTGATGTCTCTGAAAGTGCATGTGGTCTAGAGGAAGAGAGGAGTTTGATCTCCTACCTGTTTAGTGTGTGCCTGTGTAACAAGGTGGCTAAAGTGTATTAATGTAGAAGTAGATTATTGTGATGCAGACTGTTGTCCGGTACTAATTTCATTTACTTAGGGTATTAAACTGTGTTTGGTTTGACATGAGAACATCAACACCATAATCATTGGTGGTGGTGAAGATTTTTCAAATAGCTTTTCTTGTTCCATGATGCAGTCTAGACCATGCAACTTTTCCTTTTCCGTGGTTTAGTTATTCTCAGGGACGAGTACTGTATTTTTAATGCAGAGTGTTGCACACATCCAGTCTGAGTTTTTGACTGTTCTGTTGTCACCGACAAGAAAGCAAACTGCTGCCTCTCCCAAGGTCACAGTGTGAGGCGCTTGGACAAGAAGCCGTCCACCCATTTTGCTTTACTTCACACTGATGTTTTTCCCACATACTGTCATTTATCTGGTGGCTAAGAGCAGGAGCAGCATCCTGTGAATCCACAACGAGCTATGTGTTGGGGAAGAAGATTCGGTTGGTTCCAGACATGTCAGTAGCAAATCAGTTTTGCAACTTCCATCATAGTCTGAGGGCAGGCAGGTAGGCTAGACTGTGTCAAAGAATCCAGGGTTTTAAAAATAAACCCTGATGTCAGAGATGAATACGTCAGCCCTACGTATTCTGAATATTAAGGAGGGAAAATGCAGAAAATCTTGGCTTTTTTTAAAGCTCTTGTATACGTTGTGCTCCTGGAGCACGGAACAACATACTGTGCAGCATGCAGAATATCCCTAAGGGAGCACGTGTGCACAGCAGAGCAGAACCAGCTTTCGTATTTAAGCATCAGGCTCTTACGGAAGCCGTGCGTCCGAGGGAAGAATGCAGCTCTGTTCAGCAGTGTATTTACCGTGTGTGTTTGGTTCTCTTGGTAACAAAATGCGTTTTCTTTCAGTCACACTTGTTCGTGTTGCAGTTAGTACACCGGCCATCAGTTCGCTCCGTACTTCAAGGTCTACTAAAGAAACGCCTCCTCCCAGCAGAACATTGTATCACTAAGAGTGAGTTTTCTTTTCTCGTGTGGGTGATGACTTTCCAGAATGCCTATGTTCAGTTGTGATAAGCTATTTCTACTCAAGATTTACTTGATTATTGAAATCCCTAAGCTGTACTTGTCAGGAATTTCCAGAACATCATGTGTGTACATTAAATCCTTGGTATCCTCAAATGCTGAGGGCTATTTGAGTGGGGGTAACAAAGTACCAAGGACACAAGCTTAGTTCCTAACGAGGACTCTCCCATTCCAGGAGACTCTCTCTGGCTTTTCCCCCGTATCTCTTTTTGACTTACCTAAAAGCCACATGTAGAAAGATTATTCTTTATTTCTTTAGGGCTGCTTTAAGTGCTTGTGTGGCGCTTTATTTGGTTGAGGGCATAGCTGATACGCATCTGTGTGATGGTTTATCTCTTCAGGAGAATGTTCTAAGTTACACAGAATACACCTATGTGGATAAATTGTCCATGAAATTGGCTCTTAAAGGCTGAAGTGTTGGTCTTTCAGATATCTTCGTTAGAATTTACAGTATGCTTGTGTTTTCTCACACATATACATACCTTCTTCCTAAACAGTAAAGAGGAACTTCAGTAGTGTAGCAGCTTCCTCTGGCAACGCGACACTAAATGGGGAAGATGGAGTAGAGCAGACTGCTATTAAAGTGTCTCTGAAGTGTCCAATCACATTCCGGCGGATTCAGCTCCCAGCAAGGGGTCACGATTGCAAGCATGTACAAGTGAGTAGATCCCAGTGGCCTGGCAGCAATCTCTCAGCCGTGTGTTGTTACAGTACCTTTATAGCTTGGTTATTGTATGAGAGAGCCTAATGAAATGGGATTTCGTTGTGTCTGTCAACTTAAATAATTAGCTATATAGATAGGTTTAATGTAAAGGGAGAAAGTAAGCTATTTGGTTTAGTTTTCTTTAGTTTTGTCCAACTGATTCAGTTAACACAGTATTTTCCCTCTATTTCCTTTTTTTTTCCCCCCCTTCTTTGTTTCTTTCTGATACCTAGTGCTTTGATCTGGAATCTTATTTGCAACTGAACTGTGAAAGAGGAACTTGGAGGTGTCCAGTATGCAAGTAAGTGCAACCATACTACATGAAATGCAGTTGTACGTGATTTGACCGAACTCAGATCATATTTAAGGTCATGGAGTGGAGAAAAATGAAGTACTAGGAAATAAAGTGTATATATTACATTTACCTAATAGCATAAAGTCCAATGAGAATTCTTGCAATATTTCATAAATTGAGGGAACACCCTGGATTATTAGAAATCTAAAAATAGATAGCGAGATATTTTCTCACAAAATACATAATCTGTGAGCTCTCATTACAGGCTGTCAATGGGTTGTGTGGAGTTCAAAAGAAGCTCAAATATTTATATTAATAAGACAGATATCTACATAAATGAATGACCTGGGAGTTTGTCTTCCCCTAGATTATGAAGTATAAGCCTCTACCAGACAACAACACGCCATGGCAAAAGAACGGATAGTCTATTCTAGTTATTTTTGTATAATTTTAATGTTGTAATGCCCAAATTATTGAACTGCAAATATGTAGATACTAAAGTGTTCAGCATCCAGCGGAACATTAAGTAAGGATGCCAAATAACTGTCTTGGGTACTGTGCTTTGAGTCACGTAGATATGCAGTTAATGGCAGTGTTCAAGGAGAGTGGGAATTTTGGAGATTGCCACATTTCCCAGTAATTAGGTAGGAAATGAAGTTGGATCCTCCAAGGTCAAAGGCAACATCAAGTGCAAAATAAAGTGAGAGCAGAAAGGATTCTAGTCCAGATTAAGACCGATTTTTAAAAAGGCAAAAGACTTCCAAGGTGCAGAAGTTTGGAGTGATTGATTAAAGGAAAAGAGGGATACCTTGGCATACTTTCAACCTTATGTTTTGGCCAGAGAGCTAGTATACTGCAGAAGAAATGGAACAAAAAGCTTTGAAGTGGTTACAGACTGCCCATTCTTACGTTTAACTGGGCAGAAAGAATCCCAGAAGGTCTGCAGGCCAGTTCAAAGTCTGTAACCTACTATGCTCAGTCCCCGCAGGGTTACGAGTTGGTTCCAGCCTCAGCTGAGGAGCCAGGACTCTTTAGCTCAAGCAGCTGTGGCTGTAGCAGCTTGTCCTTTATCTCTGCAAGTCTCCAGTTCAATCCCTGCTGTGCCCATCCATGTTAGGTATAAACAGGAGTGGAGATTTCCATTCTGTCTGCTTCTGAGGACATTGCAGGTTTGAGACAAGCTTGTCTCGATGGCTATTCATGATTGATACATATCCTAAAGTGCGGGTGCTTTCTCTGAACAACCTGAATCTTTTCTGTCTTGTAAGTTAGGCTAAAAATATTACAAGAATTGGATGTCTTTCTTCATATGTATTCATATATCCAGGCCAAAATTTTTGTCCTCCTTTTCTGAATATGAGCACCTGCATTCAGATCTAAGTGCCTACATAACTAAATCATTTCCGTTTTTGCTTTGTTCTGTCCCCATCTGTGCTGATCTTAAGTAAAATAGCTATAATACATAGTTACTTTGAAGCCTTATTACTGTGTAGCACAAAAAAAAAATCCAATTTGAAAAAACAGTGCTAGCTGATGTTCACAGGGAAAGATCTGCTATGTTTGAAAAGCCTTTACATTTGCAATGTATTTCACTTAAAAAAAATCATTTAAAGGATGCGAATTGCTTGTGGACACACAGAAGTAGATCTATTCTTATCTCATCTATTTGATGTAGAATGCTATTACCCTGGTAATGCAGATGTAGAACTAGAACTGTTTGCCCCAAATCATTCTGAAATTATGTGTTACAGATAGTAAGTTGGTGGATCCCCGTCTGCTGATTTCATCTCTAACCTATCCTTCTTCCATCCTTCTTTTATGCATGGGTAGCAATATTCTAACATGAGGTTTGGGTTTTTTTTCCTTTCTAGTAAAACTGCTCTGCTGGAGGGCTTGGAGGTTGACCAGTATATGTGGGGTATTCTGAACGCTATACAAAAGTAAGTGAACTTACTAATTTCTGATATTGAAGACTAAGCAACTAGGAGATATGTTAATGAGCACTGAGATAGTCACACCAAAGTAGGTCTTAGTGACTGAACTTGAATATTCTATTTCATGGCTCCTTGGTGGAGCTAGCGATACAGTGAATCAGTTTCCATCTTCTTAGTAGATCTCGTTTGGGTTATCTCCTGATGGCAGCCCCACCAATGAAGCAGAGGGAAGAGTGAGAATGGAGGATTAAATGCTTTCTCATATTTAAAGTAGTCCCTCTGATTCACATGTGGCATACCACATAGATATGTTTGGATTTCATTGTGTGGATAAACACAAAAACGTGCTCTCACAGTTGCCTTTTTTAAAACGTGCTTTTGGCACACACCTAAGGACTGAAGGATCTTGAGGTTGTATTATAATACAGCATTTCAGAACATTTGTTACCATGCAGATTCTTATGGAAACTTCAACAAAATTGATTAAAAAATAATAATAATCAATTAATATGCTAAAATTTTCGCATTATTTTACAGCTCAGAGTTTGAAGAAGTTACCATTGATCCAACTTGCAGTTGGAGGCCGGTCCCTATAAAGTCAGATATTCACATCAAAGATGACCCAGACGGCATTCCCTCAAAAAGATTTAAGACCATGAGTCCAAGCCAGATGATCATGCCAAATGTGATGGAGATGATTGCAGCTTTGGGTCCTGGCCCATCACCTTACCCATCCCTACCCCCTCCTCCAGGAGGCAACAACTCCACTGAATATGGTAACCAAGGTTAGTTTTACAGCTCTGTGCACCCGGGCGGTCACTCTAGAAGTCAGTGGTTCAGTCAGCTTTGTGATTGAGGTATGTCAGTGCATCTTCTCAGAGAGATGCATAACGGAAGCAAATTATACGGCTGAAATTCTGCATCAGTCTTTTCATGTAAAATTAATCTGTTTAGGGGAAAATATATTTTAGTAAGGAAATAGGGGCTTGTCATATTCAGTGCCATGTAGCCCTCCCTGAGTCAACAAACATTGTATGTTGCCTTACAAGTTCATGGCCTGCCACAATATACATTTTCCCTTTTTTTTTCTGTCCATTTTCCTTCTCTTCCAGTCATATTCAAGTGAAGGCTCCTGGTGCTACAGGAGCTGACCCATTAACTCTGCTGCTTGGGCCACTAAGTTTAACTCGTGGCCAGGTGGGGGAGGTTTGGTATGCCACCCAGAAAGCAGATGACTTTTAAAGAGCTTTCAACTGCTTTGCAAACACCTTTGCATTAGAAAATTACTTTCAAGTTCCTCTAGCCATGTGCTGCCAGACTGAGAAACAGGGAATTAAATACAAGCAGTGGAAACAGGTTTTCAAATGACTGGTATATTGTGAATAACTCAATTATAGTGACAATTCTGAAAATATGAAACCAGAGACTGTTTCTTTTGCAAGTAATATGATATGACTCAGTTCGGCTCTGGGAAAAGACCAACTGTTCACACCATCAGAATCCCCAAATTGATTACAAGGTGATATATGTGCTTTTTGCAGGCGTTTAGAGAAAAATATAGATTGCATGCAAAATATGGTTAATTTGCTCCAATGACTGCAAAACTGATGACAGATGATAAAACTTTTTAGGTTTTCAAACAGATGAATGATTACTATAACAAAGCCAAGAGCACTGAATCACAATTTTTTCACTCGTTTAGTAGGAGTGAAGTGCAGTCAGAGCATGAGAACAGAGCCATCTATTCTTCATCATCTTTCTAGCTCATAATCAGGAACGGAGAGGGTAGTCACATAAAGTGGGATTTAGGGTTTGTGTAACGAGTGCTGTCTAGGCTGTTATTTCCCTTGTGGATTCTGTAGCAGAGGTAGTCATTGCTTCTCGGAAACCTGACTCATCAATGGCAGGTGAAACCCACGCTCTCCTATTTCCCCTGCAACAGGCATATCAATGCAGAGCACCAGATTATCCTAAATGTCTCTATAGGTCTCTATAGGTCTCTGTGGCACAACTCTTGCTCCAGAGAAGGGTATGCTGCTGCATGGGTGTAACTCCCCGGGCATACTGCCTTGCATCTTCATTCTCCATCAATATGTGCACTGAAACTTAATGCTTAGAGTTTGGTAGTGTCCTCTGGTTAACAGTACTCTAGAGCAAAGTAGTAGTAGTAGTAGTACTACTGCGGTTTATGTTTGTTTATTTGGGTTTGACAATAAGCACACTGAAGTTTAATTTGCAAATATAACAAGTACTCAGTAATACAAGACCTTATTCCAGCTCCCTGCTATTAATTCTTTCCTGAGAAGCAAGGCAAGAGCAGCTATATTCTGAGACTCATCCAGTTTGCAGATTAACAAAATAAGAATTAGTAAGGCTCTGCAGTATTTACATGATAGATCAAAGTCATGACTTCTTTGAGAAATAGTCTTACATGGCTAATGACTTCTATTCCTCTGAGATTAAACTTCTGCTTGTGAAGCTGTGCTAAAGAGCAAATGATGCAGCTACTTCAGTCTGTCAAACTCCCTTCTTGACTTGAATATTTAAAGCTGCTGTACTTCAGGCTCTCCATGCAAGCTCCAAAGCTATTCTGTTATTTCAGAGCTCAGTATCATCCCATTCAGTTGCTTATATGAAATAGCTGAGTGGCTTTAGTTCAATTTTTAGTGTTTGTAGCAAATAAGCCACCAGAGTTGGTATCTCAGTTGGCAGTGGTAACAGGGGGGATCTGGACAGAAAAAATATGGAAAGTAAAATCCCTGTATTTGGGATACATGCTTGCTTTAGAATTCAAGCGAAGATCACTGGGCTGAGGGTGGGACAGATCAAAACATTCTCACGATGGTCATACTGTACTCGTCTTGCAGATCAGCAGGGGACTCCAGGCTTCTTGCTAGATGGTAGATGTGTGGGGGTAAATCCAGATAATTTATTCTGAATTGGTGTGAAATTTTGGTGCTTTGGAGAGCATCATTTCAGGCTGAGGTTAGGTGGATTTCATAAATTCACTAGTTTTTCATTACGAGTGTGCATATCCACATCCTGAAACACAGACTACAGGCAGCCAGTTTGTAACTCTGAAAATGAGAAGAATAGATCCAAGAGGGGAAAATTGATGTTGTATTTGCAGACAGTCAAGTGAATTTTATTAGGTTTTGTGGGAGCAAGGAGCATGACATCACGAACGCCAATTAGACATGAAGGCCTCTTCTGTGCTGTCTTAATGGAAGTTGCCTGTTTATACTGCAGAAGAGGTAAAACAGATGCTGTGCTATGAGCTGGTACTGTGGCATCTTCCTGATCCAGGTCTGTCAGTTAGCTTCATCAGAAACTGAAGCAATGCAACGATCTTACTGAGTGCATAGGAGCGTAGACATAAATAACACAAGTGTCCTATAAATAATTTTGGACCTGGGCAGTCAGTCTCAGTTGCACTGAGATGTTTCCAGATGCAAATATTCCACAGAATTTAATATCCCTTTCACTTCTTGACTCGGTTAAGTTTATTTGGTGATTTGACAGTAGTTTTTCAAAATGTCAGCAGTTTTCAATTAGCTACAACGTGTACATGAGTTATTACAGCAGGCAGCACTTGTGAGCTTGAGTGCCTTTTTTTCCTCCCTATTCCTCCAGCTTGCTCCAGCAGCGGGGAGCACAGCGTAGTCACGCTCAGCGTTGCAGTTGCCCTGTGCTGTGCAGGGAGGATGCCGCCCAGCTTTTACAAGATACTCTGAGAGATCAATGTTGGGAAACAAATAGTTTGTTTCATATCACATGTGTTTCTCTTTTAGGCAACAGTTACCAAGGGCATGGCAATTTTGACTTTCCGCACGGGAATCCTGGTGGCACATCTATGAATGACTTCATGCATGGGCCACAGCTGTCACATCCCCCAGACATGCCGAGCAGCATGGCAGCTCTCGACAAACCGCTCAGCCACCCCATGCAGGAATCTGTAAGTAATGGTGCTGCGGATCTAGGTTTTCCTTTGTGGGGGTAAGGAGCTCTCATCCAGCTAATGGACTTGCCTTGTGAACTGCTTTTACTTTTTGTGGATTCCTCACTTCGGAAGTTTGTGAAATGGAATAGTCCTGAGAAATGCCGAAAATGCAATTTTTAGTTTCTGGCTTTTTCCAGATTTTGGAGAAGCGTTTCTGAGCTTTTTGGATTGTCATTTAAGCTTGTTTATCTGAAAGAGACAACCTGACTTGGTGTGCGTGTGTTAATCGTTGTGCTTTGCTCTGACACCTGAAAAAAGCTAGACTTCATTCCCTAGGCCAGCAGGGTCTGTGAATATCCATCTTCAGCAGACAGCTTGTTACAGCACGACACTGACTGACTTCAAAGCAGGGACAGTATCTTCCTTGCCTTTGTCCCTGAGGGCAAAATTTGCATCAAAGCATTTTGAGGGGGAATTCTACTCGAGTAGCATGAAAGGCACCGTTAAGCTGTTGGGAATAGGACAAACCTGTAGACGTCAAGGAGAGACACTGCCACTGGTCTGAGAGTCTATCAATGTAAGAGACTAAGAAATGGAGGTTCCCCAGGTCTCAGATGGAGAGGCAGAACTGTGCGTTGGAAAAGCAGCTTGCTCAAAGCACTGAGTGTTATATACAGAATTTATACATCTCCAGAAAATGCAGTACTGCAGCAGCTAGACGATAGAAAAGCAGCATTTAGCTCTTAGGCATGGCTAGTCATCTATTTTAACTCGGGGTGGGGGGGGAGTGTGTGTACATCCTTTTATGTTCATTTAAGTTACAGGGCAGGGGCTTTATAGTGTGCTGTTACTGCACAGGAAGGATGTTTAACTTGACAAGTCATCTGTGCCGTGTCTTTAGTGAATACTAGAAAGTACAATTTCAGAATGTAATGAGGAAATGTGGTGGCAGATGCTCGGCAAAAGCCTACTCAGTCAATGTCTCCTCTAGCTGGCAGTGGGTTTTCCAAGGAGGATGGTGAGAAATAGGAAGAGAGTGGAGAGAGGGTTCTTCATATAGCTTGGAGAGAGCCCAAGTAACAAGACTGTCTGCAAAGGAAGAGTCCAGAAACTGTAATGACTTTACCACTTTACAGGCTAATAAAGGACAGAACAAACATGCTGTAAACCTAATTTTACGTTGGCAAACTCCACATACCCAGCTTAAAGAGCAGTCTGAATTATCTGCATCAGAACCAACCATACAGTATTAGAATATAGTAGTGAGGGGAAATACTACCAACCTGAACCACTCACAGCTGATTTCCTTTGAATCAAAGTCTCCTATTACTCGACACCCACCTCTCGACTTTGTCAGTTAACTGCTATGCCTTTGCTCTAGTAGTTGCCTCAGTGAAATTTCTGAAGTGGTAGGATATGAATTGGTTGAATATGAAAGTGAAGAATTTGTGGCTTTCTGAAAATGGGACTGCTTACAGAGGTTAGCAGAGGTGAAAGTTGCTCAAGGCTATGCATGTTCCAGAGCTGTGAGGGGGTATTTGGGCAAATGTTAATAGATTTTTGGTTCTGTGGGCCAATATGTAGGAAATCTGATACTTGCTTATGATAGCTGGCAATTAAAGTAAACCTTTGCCTTACTTTGCCCTCGTCTATCATGATAAGCAAGCTACACTGTTTGGGAACAGGAAGCAGCGCTCAAGCAGGTTCCACCTAGTTTATGTCAATGGCTGGTTTTCTCTAATGAGGATCAGTTTTCAGGTCTATTAGCACAAGGGAATTAGATTGACCTTGTCAATGTCACCGTGCAGTCTTCAGGCCACATTTGAGGACGGTTAGTGCTCCCACGCAGCTTTTTCAGTATTATAAAGTCTCAGCTTTCCTCTTTCTGTCTTTCTCCTTCTTCCTTTCTTCTCTCTCAAAAATGAACTGTTGGTAGCAGACACTCAGGAAAGGCAGCCTTAAAATTACTGCTTTTAGAGAAATGCATGCCATTAACACATTCCTAAATTATGTAGCTGAATGTCTTTGGACAGACATCTCTGCACAAAAATAACTATAAATTACATTGTGCAATTGAACTAAGGTTTTAAGATGATGTCTGTGCTCTTTCTGTCTTTCCTTTTTACACATTTAAGGTGTATTTTGTTTTCATCTACTATTCACTCTGACCGTTTCATGTTTACAAGGTGAGTCAGGATCAGATGTTAGGTCCTTTTAGACCCGAGGTCTGTTTCTAACTGGATTTGAATGCTGCTGAAGAAGTTCCTAATTTTCCTATTATGAAGATTTATGTGGTGGCCCTTATTTAATGGTAGGCAGAGAAAGTTGGTCACTCCAGGAAGTGTTTGCCCAGTGTAGGTAGGGCTGGGTAACCAGGGCTGGGTCTTCAGAACTACCTTCTCTCAACGCTGCTGTTCTGCTCCTGTGGAAGAAGAAAAAATCAAGACCTGAAAAGTGGCTAGTAGTGTAACGTGTTGTAAGAACTCTAGAACAGATGCTTCTATGTCAGTGCAAGACTGCTACAAAATAGCTGCCACAATCACATCATGTTTGTTTTCAGAAATTGTAAACAGGTTTTAGACCAAGGTGAATTCAGAGTTAGCTCTAGCTTAGTGCTCATTGTAGACAGGGTAAGGAGTGGTACGTGACTGAGAAGTGGATGATCACACCATGGTTTCATGTACACAGTGAGGTGATACCAGCTGGTGTCGCTGTAAAAAGTCATCACTCTCATTTCTATTTTCACTTTTCCTCTCTCTCACACCAGCATAAGTGTTATTGCAGCCATGAAGTGATCTGGATCCGGGTGCTGATGTGATTGAAAACTAATATTGGGGAGGCAGGGACAGGGCAAGTTTAGCTTTGATCCATGTCAGTTCCCCAGTTGAGTTCACTGCATGTCTGCAAGGATGCACCCAATGACAAAGCCATGGATGCGAAAAGTGGCTGAGAACAGCAGCAGAGCAGGATGGCATCTTTCAGTGGTGCTGCCAGCTAACCCAGCAAAAGAGTTGGTAAAACTGTGACCCCAGTAGTGGAGAGAGATAAACCATCGATTTAACCTGCTGATCTTTTTTTTTCACTATCAGTTTTCTCCTGAGATGAAAGGTGGCAGGTCCCGTTGCTCCACAGCTATTCATCTTGGCACTCCTAGAGGTCACTGTTGGGCTCATAAAGAGTTGTGTTGTTTTGTGCTATTAAACTGAAGATGTAGTTGTGTCTGCTATAAGCTTTTCTTTTATAGGTTGTAAATGTTTTTAAGAGTGCCAAAGTTTACACTCCTAAAAACAGCTCTGGAATTACCTTGCTATGTAACCAAAGGCAACTTTTTCAGACTCTGTGTTCATAGTGTGGGTTAGTGCTTTTAAAATAAAATGATGAGAGTCGCAGACACAAGCTGAACGTACTCAAAGTGTATTGCTTAGAATGTTTTTGCACCACGGCAAACTTACCATTAGTTAGCTGAATGCAAATAGGAAAAATGTAGAAGTCCTGAGCATTTTACTGTCTCACAGCTAGGCTGGTGGAGTCTGTGGCATAAGTCAGATGGATTTTGAACCTGCGATGGCTGTCTAAGATTATGGTAGCCCTTAGTCTTACAATGAACAATTATTTGCTATCCAATAGTTATGTCAGGGCCCAAGATACTGCCTTATCAACTAAATACTTATCTATATAAAATGCTTGCATATATAAACATAATGTAGAATTTCTAACCTTTTTGTTTGTTTTTAAATATCCCTAAGAACATATGAATGCCTCTTGGTTTAAATAATTATTGATCTAAACATGCCAGTATGGCTCTTGCTTTGTGCTTTCAGGGATAAATTTAAGAGACTATTCAAGATAATCCTGTTTTGGTTTGGTTTTTTTTCTGGAAACTGCTTTCCCACTTTAGCAACAGTGTCTTAAATTGCTTTTTACTTTTTCTTATTATTAAGCTTTCTTAATTTCCACACTTTCTGTTGCACGTGTCTTCAATGAATGAAGAAGGAAACAGTACTATTCGGATAGACACGTACTTTCATTTGGACTTCTGCAAAGTTTTTAGGCTACAGATTCATTTACATTAAGGTGTGGTCTGTGGGCAGATTTTGTACAAGTTTACCCCTAAGGTAACAAAATAATGTTGCAGAATACTTTTAAAGTAGTCAAACTGTGACCCTAATGGCCAGAAGAGTGTGTATCAGTACTTTTTAACATTACTTTAAACTCTCATATGGGAAAGAGGCCCAAATGAGGTGTTCCAGATAGAATCCTGCTCCTTTCCACCAACCTTTGTATTACCAAAGTATTGAAAAGGACCCCTGTGTAGCCGAGTATGACTGTCCCAATGGATCAGTATTCAAGTTTCAATTTTTCATGAGTGGTGAAATGTATTTTTCTAAAATGCTTGTTTCTGTATTATTTTTTTTATTATTATTTTGTGGGAACATTTAAATTAAGTTTTGTAATAACCTCCCTTTTGCTTTCCAAAAAATGAAGACTAAGGTTAAAATAACCTCGCAGTTTACTATGATATGAAAGGGTCAATGCTGACATAGCATTTTGCTGGTTTCCGTTGGCTTGGCTGGATGAATTTCATGCTGTTATTGTATGTATCTGTTCTTTTATTTCAGCTCCACTTTGTGGCAATATGTAGCATTCCTCAAAAATGTTTACATTTTTTGCTTCTCCATATACCCAATTGACATAAGACATCTGATTCTGAAGCATTCACACACTTCTTTCTCATGGCGCCAGCGCCAAGTCCCAAAGAATCCACTAGCATTAAATGTGACATGCAGCAGAAGGAAGAATTGGGCTTGCGCGTTTTTGTTGCTTCACTGTCATGTGAGAAAGGCTTTTCCCTCACTCTTCCATAATGTGGTTTGGTAGTTTATTCCCCACAGAAAACATAAAAAATACTCAGCTTTTGCTAGAGGACTTATCCATGGCATGAATGCAAAATAGAACTGTGGTCGTTGGCTTAGTTTAAGCTCATGCATTTTACTTTGCAGTCAGCAGGTACGCAGCCACCCACAGCAGCTCTGCTGACAGGTGGGAGCTCGCTAGCCGAGCTGACTTGGTTTTTTGTCCACCATCAGAACCCGTGAATATCAGCGAGGAAAATCTTCAGCCCTTAAAAGGGGTGTTGCATTCTGAAAGGAGAAGGAGGGGAGGAGTGGGGAAGGGCTGATGTTCGCAAGATGTTTGTAATGAGCTGAAACACAAATAGGCAGCGGTGACGGGGAGCTACCTAATAAGGGAGCTGAGCAGAAAGGATGCATTTTCTCGGTTAAGCGGTTTCCTGGTGTAGGGACCGTTGTTCAACAAATTCTCCATTCATTCATGGAATTTTTTAGGGCAAAAGCATCTGCCTTGTTAATGCTGAGCAGCACCCATAAGCCTCCTTCCCTCCTCTTTGGGGTTCATGATTTTGCATCTTCGAGCGCAGTTTCTCACATCACAAGGAAGCAAACCAACAGCACAAATCCAACGTGTTTATCTCCGCCTTGCAGATAACCTTCAAAAAGCTGAAACACTTCTTCCGACATTGGGATATGGAGTTTTCTTTTCCGATTGCGCTTTTTTGTTTCTTTTTTTTGGGTGTTTTTTTCTGTTGTGTGTGTCTTTTTTTTAATTTATTTATTTCTTTTTGTAACATGCAGTTACAGAGTCAGGCACCGCGAGCAGTGTACCTTGTGGCCTCACTTTCTTTTCCTGCTTTTTTCCTCCTCCGCAGATCCCTCATCCCGGCAGCACTGATCAGTCCCATACTTCCATGCAGCAAGGTTTGCACGTCCCTCACCCCAGCAGCCAGTCAGGGCAGCCATTACATCACAGCGGGCCTCCTACCCAGCAGTCCCGGCAGCCGCCCCCGGCCGCTTCTAGCAACCATCCACACAGTGACCTGACCTTTAATCCCTCCTCAGCCTTAGAGGGTCAGGCTGGTGGACAGGGAGCACCCGACATGCCGGAGCCCTCGCTGGATGTAAGTCTGTGTCATACTATCATCTGCCTGCCATAGCGTGTGCTTCGCATCGCGGCGGGAGGGCGGGGAGGGTGCGGGGACGGGGAGCTGCTTCCACAGCACATGCCATCCTTTCATGCTTTGGTACATGGGCGCAAGTGCTGCAGCCGAGGTGACAGGGAACTCCTGGCTTGCTGGGAGAACGGTTCTGGTTTGAGCAGCTGCGTGGCGTGTGAGCCGTAGCCTCTTCCTAGCACCAAGACAGGCGTTTCTTCAGACGATAGTTCAGGCACCAGGCTGGGAGCTGTCTCCTCCCTTCCCCCTCGTCGCTGCGCGGGCGCTCCTGTGTGCTCATCTAGACCCTGAAGCCATCGCAGCGCTTGAATACAGGGAAGGACGCAGCTGTGTGTGGCTCTGACCGTGGCGGAGCTGCGCCAGGCGAGCTGCACGCTGAGCCCTGCAGCATGCCCTGGCCAGTGGAAGGGGGATCTGTGCTGGCCCACCCCGTGGCACTGTCCCTGCGCCCTGTGGCCAAAACCAGGCTGTGCCCATCCATACCTGCTCACGCGAGTAGCTCAGCAGCACCAGTTCTTCCTCCCGCTACACCACCTAGGAAAGTAACCAACAAGGACGTCTCCTGCCTCCTTAGCCACTATGGGAGGCAGCTCACAACTAAGCAAAGATAAACCTAGTTTTATGGCCACAAGTAATCTTCCATCTCTTACCATCCATTCAGTGGAGTTGGAAGTGATTTAGCTGAGGAATCTCTCTGGTTAACCACCTGCTTCCCAGAATATAAACTCCTTAGTACTAGGACTGGGTTTTCCGTTTGAGTCATGCGTTCCCGTACGTGTATCTTCTGTCTGTTACAAAGTCTGCTGCTGCACAGTGTAATTTTCTTAGAGGAGCGTTCACCTCTGTGCCTTGGATTTATATCTGTAATTATGGTTGCTGTATGCTTACATCTTCCCTGTCACAGACGAGCCCTGTGCCAGCAGGCAGCCTCGCAGAGACGAGGGAAGGGGTTAGGGGAGGGATGGATGCTCTGGTTACAGGAACAGTGCCCAGTGGAGTAACTTCTGTCTGAATCAGACTGCTGCTCTTTCACACAACACCATCATGTACGCGTCCTTTGGGAATGATAGTTCATGCGACAATTAGAGTTCTGAATCCTTAAGGACCCCATATGAGCAATATTAATAGGTGAAATAAAAATGTCATTTTTTTCTTCAAATATTTAAGCGACATAAAGTATGCTGTTACGGGTCAGGCGCTCGTTTCTCGATGAAAAGCAAAGTAGAAAAACCTGTACATTTATCACAGTACCGTGGTTATCGCTGATGGAGGCATGCTGGATTCTTAATGGGAAGCTGAAATTATCTTAGCTAAATAAGAAGGCAAGTGCTGTGCAGTGCGGGGAAAATAGTTCTTTGAAATATCTGTGAGATCAGTCGTGATCAGGTGGATTATTTTAATGGGTTTAACTTTCAGTGGCCGTGTTGTGGAACCAGGCTGAATAAAATCCCATGCAGCAAACCAAGCAGGGGACCGTACCGTGGGCAACTCGGTCCGCTGTCTACTGACACAATCACATTAATTCTTTAGGACTTCGTTGTGATGCAGCCTAAGGTTTAACCTGGGTTAAAGGATATACCTCGTATAGGTACAGAGACGGGTGACCTACACTTGCACCTCACACAGCAGAGGCCCAAGACTCAAATGACTGGTTAGACCTCTCAAGTATTCGCTTCAGGAGCACTGGGTGCACCGCTCCAAATTCTGCCCCTAAGTGTAGCGTGTTCCTGTAGCTTCTGCCCCCACCCCTGGCAGCCCCCGGCATCCCTCTGTCTCTTACCTCTGCTCCAGCACAGCACCCTCAATGCCCAGCAAGGCCTTTCTCAGGTCTCTGGTTTTCCCACCAGCCGGGCAGGAGGCAGGCTGGGCTGCCTGCGCCCTCTGACCAAGGCAAGCCCAGGTCACCCTCAAAACTTAGAAGACGTCATCTTCGGAAATACTGACCATACTGTTTAAAACTTTCACCTTTCTAAAAAAAAATTTTTTTTAATCCCCTGTATACAAGAATAAGTCTCAGAGACATTATGTTAAATTTTTAAGAATTGAGTTGTAAAATTGTAGGACAAATTCAGCTGGTTTTTACTTTCTACACGTTTGGTGGCGCTGCAGTTTTCTTCTGGGCTTCTGTACTAGGTATTCATAAAATATTATGATAGCAGGTGAAATACATTTAAAAGCCTTATATATTTAGTCTAGTGCTATGACAGTAGCGTTTTTACCATGAATAAAAGGAGGTGGTATTTTAAGAAAAGCACTCCTCCTGGGAGATTCTGTTTATGTAAACTTGACATTGCGTTTTTTTTAAAAACGCTTAGTAAGTAATAAACTGCTTTCTGCATTTCATGTTTAGCTTATTGAAAAATGTATCTGTTCATCCATACAACATTAGAAGATGAAGCTGCATTTGCACAGGAGCAATAGAAGCATATAAATACAATATTTGCATGCTAAATGTGATGCAGTCAAGCTTTTAGTTTTATAGTATTTGAAAACATAGGACAACTTAAAATAAATTTCTCGTACCTACTATTAAGTTTGTTAAAGCAGTCCATATTTTTCTTTCTTTGCTTTAACACAACACCGAATATAAAGGGAGTTTATTACAAATTCTTCCCTGCTGTTTTTTATAAGTGACATTTTTACTTTTGACTAGGGTATGGTGAGATGCAGAATAAAGCAGAAAACATTGCCTCGTACACAATGCAGGAGTCACGATTTGCTTGTTATCTGTCAGATCAAAAACAATCTGAGTGATGGCTGGAAAACCAAAATTTTCTATTTGAAACACAGTATTAATAAAAATATAAAGAAAACCCCCACAACTATTCCTTTTGATACTTTAAAAAATGGTGGAGATTAGTGCATCTTCTGTTGAGATGGGGTATTACGCCCCGAGCCTTTAAAATGTCTGGAATTGCATGTAATGCTGTAGTTCAGTGAGAATTTCCAACTACCATAAACTGTGTCGCTGACACAGAAGGGAAAAGGACTCACGCGCCTGCCCTGCCACTCCTCCCCCCGTATTCCTTCTCAGTTGTGTTTTTCCTCTGTTTGGGGTGGTTTTTTTCCTCTTGTTCCAGGCTAGTTTTAACCCTGGGTGAGTTCCCTGCTCCAGCTCACTGCCCCAGAGCTTACATCAGCGCACAGAGGCGTTAGGGGGTGGCTGTGGGGTGAGGGAAGGACAGGGCTGCCTCTTTCTGTAGGGGTGCAGGCTTCGGGTGGGCATCACACTGCCGTGTGCCAGTCAGACCAGTCTTTGTTGATCTGCCTTAAAGCTCACATATGTATTACTCAAACTGCACGTTTCAAGTTTCTATTCAGTGTTTTATATGAAACAAACATACACAATGAGCATTAATCGAGAAGTATTTGTCAACATTACTAGCCAGGAAATATACTTTGTTTATTCATGAAGTTTGTGATGGGGAGGTTGATTGCGAAACACGAATTGAGCTGGTAACGTAATTCACAGGTGAAAACTGAGGAATACAGACTTTCACAACCAAGCGGATATGGCACCATCTTAGGGTGTTAGGTTGTGCCGCTGCCTTCTGATTTATTTGGATAAACACCTATGAAAGCCAGTTTCCAAGAATGTGTGGTGTTTAATCCCTTTTTTTCTCAAATGTGTTTCTGTTACCTGTAATTTTCGTTTTATTTTTGTATTTTATAGCTGCTTCCAGAACTCACAAATCCAGATGAGCTGCTTTCGTACCTGGATCCTCCTGATTTGCCAAGCAATAGCAATGATGACCTTCTGTCTCTCTTTGAAAACAACTGAAACCATATGTATTCTCCCATCCCTTTCACTTTTTCACACGTGTGTGGCTGCACAGCAAGGAATCTTAACACTCCTTTTCCACAAGAGAAGAAAAAAAACCTCACAACTTGATCCAGTGGTGCACTCCCTGCTTTCTTCATCTCGGAACTGCTTTTGTCAGCTTCAAAGACTGCGAAAGTGACGGGAGAAAAAAATACAAAAAATAAATAAATGCAGTAATCTTCGAGTCTGCCGTGCTACGCGTGACAAAGAAGCATAGACAGTTGTGCAGCTATTGGAAACCCCATTTGTTGTTCATCCTCTAGAGAGAGAGTTCTGTGATAAACATAGTGTGAAGTATCTTGGCAAAACCGAATCTTGGCAAGGGAAGAAAAGGCAACAAAATGGAACTGTCTTTAATTGACCCATCTCAGAGTGTCCTTCCAACGCGTGTTCTTCCATTTTTTTGAAACTGTATCTCCCTCCACCCCACCTCCCCTCTGCCCCCCTCCAACCTCAGGTTTGCGTTGGAGTGTTTGTCCTGGCCACACACAAAAAGAAAAACAAAAACACGTACGAAGCTCAAAAAAGCACAAATCCTACAGTCAAGTGGCAAAGATAGGGAAGACATACAGGCCTCTCGGAGGGAGCCAGCAGTGTAGCTAATGCGACTTCAGTAACGGAGTCCTGAGAATCTCCAGGCTGCAGCCGTGGGTGTTGGTATTTCTGCAGGCGCAGGAATCTTTACCACCTCTTTGCAGAGGATTCCTCTGGCCAAACACACAGATTGGAAACACCCAGGAAAAATTAAAAAAAAAAAAAGTTTGCAATGTTTAGGGATTATTTTTTTTTGTAGTTTTGGTTTCACATCTGTACCCTTTGTGGCTGCGTTAATATCTAGCTGTTGAGATTGCTGTACTAGATCTTTCTGCCTTGTATGCCATATGGAGTGGAAAGGAGAAGGAGGGGGGATGCAAACCAAACTGTTCCCGATCGTTCCCTGCAGCCTTCGGTGCCCCGAGCATTTGTGTCACTGTCTGTACTGCACAATACATAGTAAGACAAGCTGGGTTGAAGGCAGCCAGGAAATCGTAGCAGGATGGAGGGAGAGTAACATCACTATCTGCATAATTATTTTTAATAATCGGCTCGAGAAGGGGCATTGACATTGGACAGACATCTTACAGCTTCGTTGTTGTTTTGCTTTGCGTTCTGTTTTTGTGACTGTTACAGATAATTCAGCCTTTTTCTTTTCTCCTCCTTCAGTTTCTTTTTTTAAGCTTTGGCTGCCGGGATGAGCTCTTTCTCCCGAAGGACCGGGCATGGGGAGAATAGTAACTGTCGGTAGATTGCTACTGCCCTCAAGAGACCCTGCTGCCACAATCACTGTCTTGCCCTGTGCTCTGTGCTTCTCGTGTGGTTGCTGCTCCTGCATGAGCTTCCTATTGCTTCTGTGCCCATTTCTGTGCTCTTTGTCTCTCTCTCTTTCTCTCTCTTATAAATGATGTACAGTAGCTGTGTAAGAAGTGCATGTGTGCCAACTTTGCCCTCGTGGTGCAACATTTCAGCTTTTGCCCACTGTACAGTTATTGGTTTCGTTTCTTTTTGCTACTAAAGCAAGTTTGACCCTGCTCCTTTTCCTCATCCCAAATCCAATCAAACACCCTTCGTTTGCTTGCCACAATACGTTTCAAACTGAAGTGCCAGGCAAAAGTTTGTTTGTCCCTGTCGGTTTGACTAGATAGCTTCCTAGCCCTCTGTGTTTAGTTTGCAATGCTGTAAATGGCATGCTCTGCTCTTATGACCCTGGATTTGCTTTCCTCACCAAAGTCATATTTGTAAATTCTTTGCGGTTTTTGTTTCATTTTGCTCTTTTTGTTAACGTTTCCCACTACTGCTGTACATGCGTCATGATATATATATGCTAGTCAGCAGCACCTTGCTGTAGATATTAAAGGAAATGGCGGTTTAGTTCTTTTATTTTCCAGTAGGAGTATTGAATCTGTCAAACATATTATGTAGAGATGGTCCCACACTTATATTTTTCCTGTTTCAAGTTTTTTTAAGAAAGGCGCTGTTCATTATGCAAAATCAATTATTTTAAGAATTGCTATTGTAAATATCTTTGTGAATATTTTAGTATCGTCTTTGATAATATTCAACATTTTCATGATCTGGTTATACTTTTGCTGGTGTTTTTAAATACCTTGTCTGAAGAAAAATATGGGTCCTTTTTTAAAAAAGAAAATTGAGGGTTCTTTAACAGAATAAGGGAGGTGTTTTTTTTTTCTTTTTTTCCCCCTGTTTTCTTTTGATAAATTAGCCCGAATTTCATATCCATTTATGTGAGGAATGAATTGATACATCAGGCAGTACCTGGACAATCAGGGCCCAGCTCTGTCGTGGAAACATAATAATAAGTGATTGCCTAGGGCGAAACAAACAACCCAACTAACCGACCGATGTTCGTTGACTGTGGGTGATTGTGGGCTGGTAATGGCAGAGATTTTGTTCGTTTGCCCAAGCGAGCAGAACAACTAGGACCAGCTGTCTGAACAGGTAAAGATGCACTAAGGCAAGCAGCAAGTAAGAAAGGTACCATATTTATATCACTGTTCTGGTGCTCCGGTCTCTGAAACTGGGGCATGGTAACACTTAGGGGTGTTGGTGGGTGGGGGAGGGAAACAGTATAGTATATGTTATTCTGCTTAGAAGTGTCTTTTTTCTTACGTAGGCTTGACAACCTGTAGAGGATCTCTGCAGAATATTAAAGATACCTTGGTGTAATACATGGTAATATGGTTGTGGTGTGGTGCTGCTATCACACAATTCCTGGGAAAGATCGTTCTTCAGTTACCGATGTGTTTTGTAGCCATTTTACTGTAGTAGTTTCCCCCTGTATTTTTGCAGCATTGTTTATATAGGTATTGAAGTCATTTGCAGGGGTGGCTAATGATAAACTGATTTTATGCCCTTAGACTTTGGGGTTTTTGTTTGGGGGGGAAGTTTCTTAAGCCATAGGTTCGGAATAAAGACAATTTCTCACTCTTAGTTGGAACTGGTTGCTCAGATTTTTTTAATTAATTCTATTTAATGTTTCACCCTCCATTGATTCCTGAGCAGCTAAGTTAGTCACCTGAAATGATTTTTCTCTTAAACGCAACATTAGTATTTTAAACCAGGTATGTTAAGGATTGACCTTTTGCTAACTGGTAGTATTTAAAATGTATCATTTAAAAGTACCTGTTGGAAAGCATAAAGGGAAAAAAAACCCCATAGATATTAGCAATATGTTTGGAGCAGTGTTTGCCTCTGCTTTGTACAGTAATGGAGAATTAAAGTGGACGGTTGACATTTTTAAGCTTACAGAAACGTTTGGTTTCTAAGCAGAACTCGAGAGAGAAAATACGATTTTACCCATCACCCAAATGTTGGACATTTGAGACAGTTTTAAAACTTATCTGTCAGCTAAAATCAGGTACTGTATAGAGGAGTCAGTATGAAAAAGCTTCTAAATGAAAACTTAGTTATTTTTTTATCTGTTCACTGCCGTATTAAAGTTTAGAGAAAAAAACCTAGCAAATAGGGTAATCACAGTCATTTGTTTTAAAGCTTAATTATTATATGAAATTCCAGTAGTATTTTTATTCTTCTTTTTTTTTGTTTGTTTACTTTTTAATTGTTTCCCTATGGAAGTTCATCTGGGAAAGAACCCACAGAGATCTACAGTTCTGCTGCCAAGACATTATTATAGGACTGACAGATACACGCCAATGTCTGCAGCGGAGACTCAAGGGACAGCTGTACATATGTAAATGACAAATAGAGACATGTTAACAGAAATGCATTCATTTTCCTTGGAATGTGCATTGTTTTTATTTCGCAGGAAAAAAAAAGCTTGAAGCTCCATCTTATGTGGAAAATGAATCCTGTTTGTTAGCGTTTGTGGAGTCTCAGCATTTGTTTCACTTTCACTTCTGTAATATACTCTGATCCTTTGTTTTGTTTTGTTTTATCTACATGTAATATTTAGCTTATGTGTACTAGTCTATCACCTGTGTATTTTTAGGGTGCTACAGAAATAATGAAGACAAATAAGGGGATTTCCAAAAAATTGTAACCAAATTCATACTTTGTACAATTTTTGATATCACGATCAGAGGAGAATTAAAAAAGAAAAAGTACAATCCGAAGTAACACGCAAAAATGGCCATTGTCTTTGTTTGTACATTGTATGTACAGTACAATGCAATCATTTCATACTTTAAACTGGTCAGAAACAATAATTGTGATTTTTAGTCTTGCAAAACTGTATGTAGTTAGATGATGTGACAACCTAATATTTATCTAATAAATATGTATTCAGATGAAACCTGTATATTAGGTGTTCATGTGGTTATTTTGTATTTAAAGATCAAATTATTTGACTATTGCTAGACATTTATATACTCTGTTGTAACACTGAAGTATTCTCATTTGCTCATGTTAATTTTTTTTTTCCTAAATAAATTTGCAAAATTACGGTCTGTCTAATTGGCAGCTGCTTTGTAAATTTTTAGTTTCTTTTTGAAGCAACCAACTCCTCCTTTGGCTTCCCTGATTTCT